TATATTAATATATGTTATAATATTTAAAACAATTTAAAGATATATAAAAATTTAAATATAAATATAATTTAAAGAGTATTAAAAAAGATAGAATTTCAGAAAACTGATTTCAACGTTATAAAAAGCTTTATTTTGAATTAAAAATGAAAGCCTTTAAAGGAATTTTTGGCGTTTGCTACAGAAAAGCCATTTTTAAAAATATAAAATAGTTAAACGAATAGCGTAAGTATTTATATTAATGATGAAATCGATTTTATTGACCTTAAAGTATATTAAAGGGAAAAGGTTACTGAATTTCCTCAACTACTTTTGTTTTTATTGAATGAATTTATTTTTTTACACTTAGAATAGAAAAGACTTTGTAATACAGTTTGTAATATATTTTAATTGGTAAAAAAGAATTCCTGGATAGATGATTTTACCCTTTTCAGACCTTACCTTGTATAATTGTATATATTATAATAAAAAAATTTGAAGATATTATCCATTGAAATTATTAATAATTCTAATTTTAACGCTTAAATAACTAACAGACCTTATGTCTCTTGAAATGTATTTCATATTAATGTATTAATGCATGTATGCAGTTTCATTTACATGTAAAGGAAGCTCGTGGTTACATTTTTAACAGTGTATGCGATTTGTATACATATGTATACAGGAACCTTTGGTTATCTCCTATACATTTTTCTATGGCCAGTTAATGTGCTGAATAATCTCATGAACATTGAGACCTCAGGATCACATGCAAAAAAATAATAATAACGCAGTATAAAGTCTAAATAAAATTATATAAAATGATGTAATGTAAACGTGTTGTAAAGTCAATAATATAAAATTAAAAACGGATAATGACCTTGCGGATCACAAATTAAAATGCTCTTCTGCATACGTGATTCTAAGGTCTCAATTTCCATGAGATCATCCATATTAATTGGCTATGGAAAAATAGGAGATAACCAAAGGTTCCTACATATGCAGATCGTATAGCGAAAACTCATTGTTTTTTCTACGCTGAAGAAGATTAGAATTTAGTCGAAACGTACATGCAGGTATATATGTATCAATACATTAATGTGAAATAGACATTAAGATCTGTTAGTTAAACGCACCAATTATAGTGCCTAATTGCCCTAATTTATTTGTATTTTTAAATTAATTTTCATTCAAGGAATCTTATTTATATTATTTAATTCGATCGATATCTAATATCTGATAAATAATAATAATGTTGGAAAAATAGTCAAAATTTTGAAAAAAAATTAGTATGTGTAATATAAATTACTTGAAAAAAATTAATATATACAGTATGAATTACTTAATATAAAGTGTATTAATATAAATTGAATTAAAAACGGTTTTTTTAACATAATTCCTGTAAAATCAAGTCAAAAGGGATATCTCTTAGAAATTTGTCACACGGATTTACACTATTGCTGTCTAATTTTTCAGTGGTGGAGCCCTAAAAGTAAGATAAAATCCATTGCACCTATACTTAATACAAAGCAAAGTTTGATATATGAGTTTGCAACTTTTCACGTAAAATTTAAATTACAAAGTTAAACATACATTTATATTGTCAGCTTTATTTGTTAATAACTTTTTAATGAACAGTGAAACGATGAGGTTCAAGTACGACTTTTTATTTTATTTTACGAAGCAAGATCCATCCCGCACACTTCCTCCCCTTCATCAATTAATATAAATATTATTTGTTTTATCATTTTATTTTCTAAAAATGACTTTTTCATAGGGATTGTTAAAAATTCCTTTAAAAGCTTTCATTTTAACAAATGAAGCTGAAGAACTTTTTTACAAAATTTTATCTAAATCGAAAATAGTCGGCTTTCGGAATTTTATTCAAAAAATGAATACATTGATAAATACATTTCTTCTAAATTTTTAAAGATTGTTATTTAGAAGGGACCAACGTTCGGCTTACAGGAGTCAAAGGTGATGGCACGTATCACGCGCCCTCGACAAAAAATGGCGAACACGACTGATTCACCTGCAACGGCCGGCAGCAGCCTCCTTTCATCTTCAACAACAACACCATTTCCCACCTCGACAACATCGGCAGCAACTTATTCGAGCGAGAACTACACCTTCAACTATAGTGGTTTGTCGAATCTGGGCGGCTACTCGCTGGACGATTTCAACTACACGGAACTGTGGTTGGACGTCTGGAATGGCACTGAGGTCAGCAATGTCACCGAGAGACTGAACGCGACGGTGTTGTTATCGAGTAGCTATTGTGATGAATGGGAGGCTGCTCAGCATAAGCTCTTCCAGGTGAAGATACGTTTTGAACAATTTCTAAATTATTTTTTAAGTTTCTAAGATCTTTCCTTCGCTTATAAATAATAATCGATACTTTCAATAAAATAAAATCTGTCTTTTGCAAAAATTCTACGAAAATTTTACTCTATTTAAAGTTTTGGAGAAAGAATGTTCTTTATATATAATCCTACATTACTCGCGTAATTTTTCTTAATGCAATTATTCGCGTAGGATGTTTGTGAGTTCAACATTATATTTCAATTTTTTTTTATTATACAATTTAAAAAAAAAAGATATTTTCTAAAATGATATTTTATTTAAATTTATTTGGTCTAACAATTATCTCATGATGTTTAAAAAAAACGTATAATATTCTATATATATTCTTCAGATAAGAAATGCAAAAATGTTTTTTTTATTGTAAAACAATTTACACAGTAGTGTGTAAATACAGTAGTGTGTATAAACAATTCATACATTTAACGAATTTATAAGGCGGACACTCCACGCGAATAATGAAGGATTAATAATTTGAATATTTTCTTATCATTTAAATTTATTATTGCTTATATTAATTTCAGGCAGCAAATTTATTTTTTGCGGCTGCGTTTCTGGTGCCACGCTCGTTCAAGGCTTCCGTCTTGGCTCTTCGCACGTTTCTCACGGCAGGTTTCATGTTGGCGGCTCTCTGGGCCGGGTTCACCATATGCGCTCTAGATGCCATGTTATGGTGCTTGGCCCTTGGTCTGTTAAACGGCATTCATTCGTTGATACTTGCCTGTCGATTCCTGCCCCCGGCTCTTAGCCCCGAACTAGCCGAACTTTATTTGAAGCTCTTCAAGCCTTATAAGGTTAGCAAGAAGCATTTCCAAGAACTGGCAAAGGAGGCGAGAATACTCAAGTTGGATTCCGATCAGACTTACGCAACGGAAGGGGTCACGCCGGCGGATAGGAGGCTGTCTATTCTTTTACGTGGAAAGTGGGTCTTCTTTTCAATTAAAAATTAATTCTTTTAAGTTAGAGGTGTCATTTCTTGTGAAAGAAGATTAATCTTAATTGAAATTAAAAGCTAATTGAAACTGAATTAATATAGACGCCTTTTATCTTATATCTACTTTCATGGAATTAATATTGAGAAATATAATTTTAAAACTTTTATATCCTTCATTCAACTTTTTTTTCATATATTGCATTAATTTATTATTAGAGAAAATTTGATCAAGCGTCGTCTGGTATTGCATGCTTAAGGGTATTGCATGCAATTTAGATGTCCGAGTTTCTCCTCTTATTTCAGAATGAAGGTAACTTGTGACGGAACTCACTTGCACTACATCAGAGCCTACCAATTCGTCGACTCGCCTGAATGGGAGGCCACGCATGAAAACGATGCCGACGTCTTCCAGGTGACGATACTAGCCGAGGAGCCCAGTACATATATCTGTTGGACCAGAATGAAGTTACTCAGGGTGCTCCGGCATAGGCCATTGCTCAAGGTCGTTCTCAACACTCTCATCGGTAAGGACATTACGTCCAAGTTGTATGCCCTTAACGAGCAGCTCGCTGGTGTCGCGGCCGCCAGTGAGAACGCCACGTCGAATCCTTACAGGGGGGTCACGAGAAGCCTCAGTGTCGATGCTGTTAATACAGAAACCGCCGGAAGGGTTCGATCGACGACCTGGAAAGTGCAGAAACAGTATAGCAATTTGCGTAGTGACAGTAAGTGTCGCAATTTATTTCTCTTCTCCTTAATGATTCAAATAACAGTTTCTTACATAGACTTTATATTATCCTAGACATTTGGATCCTGATAATTAATCTCTTATATCATGAAGATACAAAGAATGTGTTTATCGTAATTTTATATTTTTCTTTGTGTGATTTAATCCCTCATTTACGTCAAGACCTTCATAATTCGATTTACGTAATCATACAAGCAACATATTCGTGTGTGACAAATTGGACATTAGAAAGACTAATCTTTAAAAACTAACCAAGATAATTGAGATTGATGTGTCCCCAGGGAGTTCTTTGGCCCGGTATTCCAACCAGTACTGGGCGCCGGTAGTGGCAAATCATTTTCCGCCAACCTCGCCGTTCATTCAAAGCCAAAACCTCGGCTACTCGTTACTGCCGCAGGGTGACCAGTTCTCGCCACCTCCGCGAGCACCCGTGCTGACCCACCACCCTCCCGTGGCGCGACAGCGAAGCGGGGATACTGGCGGCGATTACACCCTGCTACCTCAAACACCGAAGCTCGAGAGGAAACGTTCGAGAAAAGGGACTCGAGAGGTACGTTGATTTCATTCATTAACTTCGTTACGTTGACTTCATTATAGAGATACGATAGAGGATCAAGTACCATCCTGTGGAAAATGTAGCTGCTATTTTTAGATCAAATAAAGCAGGATACGCACGAATTTTAAAAGCGAACTAACCAAACTAACAAAAAAGCGTGCATTTTGCGCAACGATATTTTTAAGTAACTTCATTTTTTTCTGAATTTAATCGAACGCCATTTTATTTACGTTTTTTAGATTTAATATCAAATATTATAATGATTAAAATAAAATTTCCATATGTAATTTCCTTATTTAATAATAAGTTTCCTATGTTATACATATATACCTACCGTATTGCTTGGGAGAGAACATATTCCTTATCTCCATCATTAGCGCTTCCTCTCTCCAAACAATCAAACTGTAGTACACTTGTGTTTCTACAAGTGAGTTTATGCTATTCTGATTGCCGTCCGAATATACTTTGGACGCCAATCTATCACAGATACATCAAGATATTTGCAGACTTTCCTTTAGCAAACCTAAATTGTCTAGTACCTATACTTTAATGCACCGTATTAGAGAGATGTAATTACAGTTTCTAACATTAAACGATGTAATTACACTGTTTTATGTGTATATTAAACTGTAGACATTTCTCTGTACATTTGCACTTACCGAGATTTTCGCTGATCTAAAGATAGCGATCGTAATCCATTTTAACTTTAACAGCTTGATAAACAGATATCTAACATACGTGCACGCGTAAGATACGATTTAATCTTCCGAAACTGATGGATCTATTGGACCTATTTAATTATAGGGAAATATCTTTAAGTAGGGAAGTAATTAGTTATTTGTAACGTTACGGTACAAGTTACTTTTTTTATATGATTAGTAATGGCTTTATTTTTTTTTTCTTTTCATAACTGTAATGGTAAAGTAATTACATTTTTTTCGGTAACGGTAATGAATTTTGTCGTTACTTTCTATATTTTCAACCTACTTGACATAATTTTCGCATATTCAATCTGCAATTTTAGATTGCTATTTATAATTTGTTGTTACATTTAAGAACGTCTCAAGAATAATTTAAAGTTTTACGAACACAAATTTTTTTAATGAATTTTTTTTACCCTTAAGAAAGGAACCGAAAAAATCCACGAAAAAATTAGAAAAAAACCAGTTCTTTTTTTCTAAAAAAATTTCTTTTTTCGTAAATTTTAAAACTATATAAAAAAATAATGGAAAAGTAACGAATCGTTACATTTCGAGTAACGGTAACGCTAACAAGTTACTTTTGAAAATCAGTAATATCGATAATAATTAATAATTTACTTAGTTACCTTTTTGAAGCCCCTTTTTTCATTATCTGATTAACTTGTGGTTAAGCTTAACCTGATGTTTTACCCAATGGACTTCACTTATGACATCATCACAAGAAACTCATTGGATAAAAGATTAAACTTAACCACAAATTAATCAAATAATGGAAAACCGTGTCGGTAACGAGTAACTAGTCACTTTTAAAAAAATAACTCCTTTCTCCGTCTTTATGTTACATCTGTAAATGTAAATTATTAAATGTGTGTACACACACACACACACGCGCGCGCGCGCGCGCGCGCATACGCACGCACACGCACGCACACGCACACGCACGCACACGCACACGCACACACACACGCACACACACACGCACACACACACATACATTCTTTTTTTATACGACATTATATGTAATTTTGATTTCTTCGAAATTAATTAGTGCTTTTTAGTTAACATATTATAATTTAAATGGATCCCACAGACCCAACAATTAGTAATTGTGTATTTTGACGTCAGCTCTGGAGAGTTAATATTACTTAAATATTTTCTGATATTCTTAAGTACAATTCTCTGTTTTTATATTTATCAATGATGTTATTTGTTATCATTTTAGAAGAAATCTTGTCGCTTGTAAATAGGATAAAATAGATCTTTTTAGCTTCTTCCTTCAGGGAGAAAATTAAATTAATTGATTAATGTTTTTTTTATTCTAACTTTATCATGTATTATAAAATAAATGTTCCAGGTGACCTTCGAGACACCGGTATGACGCTCGCCCGACGGGGAAGGGCCTGCCAGCGTGCCTCTACTTTCACTGTCGCCGCAACGCTCCGCCTAGCCCCGTCGTGGTCTTGTCGTCATCCTAAAGCACACCGCAAAACTCACCCTTTGAACTTCCGGTGGACATGATACCGATGAATGGCCTATTTCCTCGGAAGAGAGAACGCAACGGTCTTGGTACCGCATGGATTATGCTTCGGTACCACGAGGATCCTTGGTACCACAAAATCGCAAGAGCGCTGGTGGAAGAAGTCGTTGGGCGTAGTTTTGACGTGTGCAATTGATTTTCATATCTTGCAAGTGCCACGCCTTACAGAGACACGCACGCACGTGTGAAATCGAAACCGCGATGGCGGCCGTTAAAAATAAAAAAATATTCCGATATCCTTCGATCACATTTGAGGTACCCATCAAAGTTTCGAGATGAATCGAAATTCGATCGTGTGGTGGAGATGAATGTGAATCGTTCATTGACGTGAAAAGTAAGAATAAAGGAGAGAGAAATCGTAAACAAAAGATTAAATATAGATTATATTATATTAATGAGCATCGCCTCTGTGTACACTTTTACATCGACTGTGATTACAACGGATATAATTATTAAGTCTTTCAGAGAAACGCTGATTATATACACATACAGGACAACACGTGCGTAAATAGCTGCCGTGGTAACCATACACGCATATCTCGCATTTGCGCGAGTTAGGATATCCTTCCCGCATAATGATTTCGGTATATATACATTTGCATTAAAAAAATCCTAATTCTACAGATTTTTTTTTTCATCCTATTCTCTTATCAATGATTCCAAGCAAACGCCAGTTATTCATTTACATACAAATAATAATCAGTAAATCACTTAATCTATGAATCATTAAACAGTATTTTACATCAATATAAAAATACATCAATATAAAAATAATATTTGATTACTATCTATTATTAATGAAGGACATCCAAACAGCGTAAACAAGTCGGGATTGTTGTATAAAATTAGTACATAAAATGCGCATTCACGATAAATATAATATTTCGAGAAAACATGCAGCAATTTGTGAACAGAAAATTGCATTTGCACATTCCTTAATCAATTGTAAAATGCGTAAAATAAATAAACAGAAAAAAATAAAGATGAAATGAAAAAACCAGCCGAATGATCCGGATGTAATAAAAACAGATAAGTGCTTTGTTAAAAAAAAAAGAAACCTGCAATAAAGTGCTTCGAAAATCGTAGTTAATGGCGAGATGCAAATTATAAAAAGCAAAGTTTAATTATTCGCGCAGATTAAACGAAAGAAAAGCTAATATGCGTCGTGTGTGACACGTAGAAGAAAAAAAACATGTGTGTTTGTATGTTTCTATGTTTATATAATCACCGCGTGTGAGAGTGAAGCCGTAGAAGATCAATAAAGACGCACAAACGATTAAACAAAAAAACGTGAAGGGAATAAAATTAATAAAAACGGCTGTGTAGAGTCAAGTGTAAATGTTAAATACAAAAATGGTTGTAGAATATTGTAACGTTACGAAGGATTGTATAAAGTTGTAAGAGGCGCACACGTCGGAAAAGATCATCAAATGTTTAAAGTAAAATTTATTTTTATCAAATTAGATTATTGTAGTATTCTGTTATTATGTAATTGTTTTCGCGAAAATTGAATTTATATGTATATACAATATATATGTAACATATATAAAAACTTTATACATTTGTAATAATCAAAATTTTAAGAAGACTGAGTTACTATAACTTTATTAATTCTTATGATATTTGCCATATTTAAAATTTTATTAATATTAGATTTGTTGAATTATTTTTAGAATTAAATTTTAGAACTAAATTGTACATACAGAAAATTTTTGTCTTTGCAAGACTGATCTATTTTCCGACGTAGACAAGAGCCTAAAGTACGAAAGAATCTGTTTGAGTGATCTTTGTTGACGTCGAAAAAAATAAATGAAATCGCGTAAGATGGACTGCAGCAGCGACACATCAACATCACGACGACATTGTATGTAATTATTATTTGTGATTACAATATGTTCGTTGACTATTTGTTAGAAATAAAAATTACGTTGAAAAACGTGTAGTATAATTAAGTATAATGCCAAATCATCCTGCTTCTAATTTCCATTTTCTTCGTTATCCTTGCCATTATTACATGATGATGGGATAATTTCAGTATTGTAATTTTTTAATCCTAAATTGTAATTAATAAGATAAATATTTAATCGCAAGAAATAATGTCTTATACTAAATAGAAATTATAAAAATAGGATACAATCCTAATAAATAAAACATAATTTTTAAAATATTTTTAGGTCAATATAGACTATATGCATGTTGGCATATATTTATAAATAAATACAATCTCGAACGCGAAACATTAACATGTAAAATATGTCAAACATAACAAGTAAATATAAAACATAAATATCAAAATATAGAAACTCAACTCTATGAATTTTTTATATTGTTAGTTTTAGAATTTATTAATCAAAATTTAATTATTATATATCTTATAACACAAAAATCATCAATCATCATTGACTTTAACTTGAATTTCTTAGTTATTTTAACTTATACACTTTTACCTCATCATCATCATCGTCATAATCGTTATTTTGCGGAGGATCTATGACATGCTTTCGCTGATAGAAATATTTCTTTTTTTCGCTTTTATGCGGAAGTTGTATGACTATAACAAAAGATTTATCTTGGTCAGATGTATCTACCGTA